GGACATGATAACCTATATCTTTAATTCCTCAGCATGTGTCTCATAACAACAGAGACATCCTCAGGAAAATTCAGGTTCCTTACTGTACCTCTCAGTGGCATTACATCAGCAACACTGTTGTCTGATGTCTAGCTGACACATCATTGTGTTCCCCATTGTCCTTGTTGAAGGTCCTTTATTGCTTCCTGTTATGTAGGGCATTTCGTTTCATGTCTTTCTAGTTTCCTGTCCTAGTCTAGAACACATCCATAGCCTTTTGTCTTTCATGATGTGGACAGCTTTTTATGAGTTTAGGCCAGTTGTTTCATAGAAGATCATTTAAATTGGAATTAAATGAAAATTAATGTTAAATCACAAATAAACAATATTTTTTAAAATTGGAATAAGACGATTTGCTTTCTCTTGACTAGATTCAGTGTGGTGTACATTAATTACATCAAGATAGGATGTCAGCCTGGCTGGAGTGGTTCAAATGGTTGAGCATTGTCCACTGCACAGAAAGGTTGCCGGTTTGATTCCCCATCAGGGCATGTGCTGCCTGGGTTGCAGGTTTGATCCCCAGTTGGAGCACCTATGAAAGGCATCCAATTGATGTTCCTCTTTCACATTGATATCTCTCTCTCTCTCCCTTCTTCTCTCTAAGATAATGTCCTCAGGTGAGGATTTTTTTAAAAAGGATTATGTCAGTTTTCTAATTTATTGCCGATTATAAATTATAGTTAAATGATAATCAGGCCCATTATTTTTTTCACCCTTTTTAAAAACACATTTTTACTTTTAAAATATTAAGTAACCTGATAATAAATAATTTAATAAGTACAGTAGAACCTCGGTTTTCGAACTTAATTCATTCCGTAAGGCTGTTGGAGAAGCAGTTTGTTCCAAAACCAAATTATTTTTTCCCATTAGAAATCATATAAATTGAATTAATTCATCCCAGACCCCCAAATGATTCTGTTTTAAAAACCTTTCTTAAATACAGTACATGTTTAATACAGCACTGTTGAACCTATAAATAAACACTTTTCTTAAATTTATCGAACCACTCCCTACTAGCCTTAAACGAGTCACTGTCAACACTCCTTTCCAGGTTGTCTTTCAGGAGGTCAGTATGCAGCGTCTTAGCTTTTTCATATGTCATTGCCTCCGAAATGCTGTCACCGGCCAAGGGGTTTTCATTTATCCAAATCAATAGTTTTTCTGCCTCTTCAATTGCCTGTGATCAAAGGGTTTCTTTCTTTTCTTTTCTTTTCTTTTAAATTAAATTTAGAAGTCAAATCTGTGACCATATATTAGGTCCCCCCTTTCTCCCAGCCCTTTCCTTCTGACAACTACCACACTGCTGTTTGTGTTCATGAGTTTGTTTTATATCCCACATATGAGTGAAATCATATGGTTCTTAGCTTTTTCTGACTTATTTCACTTAGTATAATATTCTCAGGGTCTATCCATGTTGTTGCAAATGGCAGTATTTCATCCTTCCTTATGGCTGAAAAATATTCTATTGTGTAGATGTACCACATCCTCTTTATCCAATCTTCTATCACAGGACACCTTGGTTGTTTCCATGTCTTGGCCACCATGAATAATGTGCAAGAGCATTATTTCTTTCACACTATTAGTAACATTAGCACTCTTGATGGCCTCGTTCTGTTTTAAAATTGTGCTAATTGTCCATTTACCAGCAACAAAAGCAAAAAAAAACCAAAAAAAACCCCACAAAAATATTCACAGCATGCCCTAGCCTGATTGGCTCAGTTTATAGGGCACCGGCCTGTGGACTGAAGGGTCCCAGGTTCGATTCTGGTCAGGGGCACATGCCCAGTTTGTGGGCTCAATCTCCAGTGGGGGATGTGCATGAAGCAGCCGACCAACGGTTCTCTCTCATCATCGATGTTTCCATCTCTCCCTCTCCCTTTCTCTGAGGTCAATAAAAATATATTTTTTAAAAATATTCACAGCACAATATCTTGAGATGTTAGCCATAAACTGACTCATACTAGAGCATTTTCTCCTTTGTTTGTGACCTGAGAGATGCTTTTTGTCATGCTGATATGCAGTAGGAAAGGGTTGTCAGGTAAAAAACTGAAGCTTGTTCAACAGCAGAGACATTTTTACCCGTGAACAATTTGGTAGAGAACTGAATTGTTCAAGATGGGAGATGTTTAAGAACCAAGCTTGACTGTAATCTTTGAAACTGTGAGAATCTCTTATTCCCCAACAACCTATCACCCCATGATTTTAAAATACTTGGATGATTCTTGCCTCAATTAGCTTTTACTGTGTTGGTTGCAAAATACTGATTTTTCTATTTGTTATTCTGTGTTTTTCAGTCTGTGTCTTATAAAGGGAAGCCCTTCCCTCTCAGTGTCAGTACACTCATGGAATCTTTTTAGTCATTGTGTTATGTCCATTCCTGTTGTTATTCATCTTAATGCTAAAATGGTTCCTAATTTATCTAGTGGGAGCCCCTTCAAGCCAGCTCCTGTGTCCTTTTGATATTCCCTTGTCAGTTTTGACCAAGTCCTTGCTTTGCCATGAACTTTTCTGCTTCAGCACTCATTCTCTAGAGGGGAATAGGTACAGGAGTGGGCAAACTTTTTGACTCGAGGGCCACAATGGGTTCTTAAACTGGACCGGAGGGCCGGAACAAAAGCATGGATGGAGTGTTTGTGTGAACTAATATAAATTCAAAGTAAACATCATTACATAAAAGGGTAGTTTTTTGTTTTTTTTTTTAGTTTTATTCATTTCAAACGGGCCGGAGTTTGCCCGCAGCTGGTTTAGAAGCCAAGATGTATTCACTGCTACTAGGGTACCATTATTTCTAAGCCCTTTAAGGAAAACGTACATTTTTGTTTTAAATCATAAATTAATAGTGATATATGTAATTTCAGTCCATCACTACAATGTCCTCCTCTCATTCACATTGGTCATTGTTCTAGCTCCCTTTTTATACTCTGAGAATACTGGTTCCCATTAACATTATCTGCACTGAGTACAACAATGATTAGGAATTAGCTTCAGATTTGTTACACCCATCTTACTGTAAAATTCCAAATTTAATTGCAGGGGTTTTTTTTCTGTACATACAAAATTCACCGAGGGTGTTTAGTGTTAAAGTTACTTGGGTTAATTATTGTGTTTGGTTATATTATCAATTTGATAAACAGGTTCATTTATTTGTTAATTAGTACCTTTTTGTCCCTGTCTCCCAGTCCATACCTAATTTGAAGTACAGTTGATCCTTGAACAATATGGGTTTGACTGCACAGGTCCATTTATGTGCGGATTTTCTCAATAAATATACCTTTAGTCCAACCCTCCCTATTCTCAGTTTTCTCATTTACGGATTCAACTGTGGATGTGAGGTCCCACTGTGTATACATTGATATGTGCCGTGTGTGTGTGTGTGTGTATAAAATCCTAATATGCAAATAGACCAAACGGCAAAACAACTGAACAACCGGTTGCTATGTCGTGCGCTGACCACTAGGGGGCACGCACAGAACATGGTGGGCATCGGCAACAGGCTGCAGAGTGTGGAACATGGCGGGCATTGGCTGTGGCCAGATGGTGGAGCAGGTGTGCGGGGGCCCAGACCAAGGCAGGGGGCACCAGTTGCTGTCATCGGGGTGAGCCTCTGGTGGTTACTGAAAATTTTTTGCCCCTGCGCACCACTGCCCCGCCCGGCACTCACACCCGCTGCCGGCGCCTGGCGCCAGCCCCGATGGCTCAGCACCATCAATGGGTGTGAGCCGCAGCTGCCGGCCTTGATTGCCCCTGAAGGCTTCTCCACCTCCCCCTGCTCCTGAGGGGTGATTAGGGCAGCAGCCACTGACAGCGCCGGTCCTGCTTGCACCCACTGCAGGTGCAAGCAGAATCAGCACCATCAGCATGTAGGAGCAGTGGCAGTGGCAGAAGGGCTGCCAGCAGAGAGGGTTCTGGCGTCTGCGGCGGGAGGAGCTGGGCTGGGGCACAGAGGATGGGCCGAGACCCGCCCCTGTGCCCACCGCAGCTTGGCAGCCCACAGTTCCTTTCAAGGTGCATGAATTCTTGCACTGGGCTCCTAGTTTTATATAATGGACAAGCATCCATATATCTTTTTATCTGTGGAGATTGGGGTCCCATGGATACTGAAGCATGACTGTAAAGTTTTAGTGGGTTCAAAGTTATAGTCTAATTTTTGAGTGTGCAGGAGTCTGCCCCCCACCCCCAAATCCTGTGTTGTTTAAGGATCAACTGTATAGCATATCAGTTGTGGAGGTGAGATTGGGATGCCATCTTAGCTGATTCCATATGCAACAGTGAAGTTTACCAGCAAGTTTATGACTATTCTGGGACCTAAAATCTTAAAAAAATAAAACAAAATTTTGTTTGGATTGGTAAATACTTCTTCGGCAACCAAGAAAGTCTGTACAAATTACTTGGTGTTTTGGAGTATTTTGAGGTTCAAATCATGTACAACCCCATTTCCTACCACTACCACCACCAGTACCATCACCATACATAAGACATTTTTTTTGTTTTGAAGTTGTTTTATTGTTTATTTTTTCTTTATTGATTTCAGAGAGGAAGGGAGAGGGAGAGATAGAAACATCAGTGATGAGAGAGAATCATTGATCAGCTGCCTCCTGCACACCACACACTGGGGATCGAGCCTGCAACCTGGGCATGTGCCTGACCAAGAATCGAACCTTGAACTCTTGGTTCATAGGGTTGACCTTTAGTTTCAGATCTTCAGCAATGCTAACAGTTTTGTTCCTCTGTATGTGTTTATCTATTTTCTTAAATTGAGGGTCATCATCACTACCAAGTCTTATTTGCTAAATCAGAGATATAAGTAACACTAAGCAACTTCTGTTTAGGTAAATAATTTTAAGGAGTCGAGAAATTGCTGGGGAGAAAAAAGACATTTCTACCATATATAATGAGTACTACTTTCTAAAAACTTTTGAATTACTATGTTAATGAGTATTTAAATATTTTCTATTTTATAGAGACTATCTTTAAATAATGACATATTTGAGGCAAACTCTGATAGCGATCAGCAAAGTGAGACAAAAGAAGATACTTCTCCAAAAAAGAAAAAGAAAAAATTAAAGCAGAGAGAAGAGAAAAGTCCAGATGATCTGAAGAAGAAAAAAGCAAAGACTGGGAAACTAAAAGAGAAATCCAAACCAGACTTGGAGAACTCTGAAATTTCATTTTTTGATTTAAGGACCAAGAAAAGAATTTCAGAAGCCAAAGAAGAATTAAAGGAATCCAAAAAGCCCAAAAAAGATGATATAAAAGAAACTAAGGAACTAAAGAAAGTTAAAAAGGGTGAAATAAGAGATTTAAAGACTAAAATAAAAGAAGATTCCAAAGAAAACAGAAAAACAAGAAAAGAGAAATGTGTTGAACCTCAGTTGGAGTCTGAATCAGATCTACTTAATGATTTCCCCTTTCAGGAGGGGGACAGTGAAGATTTACAGTCTGACAACAGAGAAGAGAAACTAAAGATTAAAAGTGGAAAAGACAAAGCAGGGCTAGATGCAGCTCAAGATGCTGTTCTAGATAAACACCTGGACAGCCCCGGAAGTGCTGATGAAGATGCTGATGTCAGAGGAAGGAGAAACAAAAAGAAACCCAGAAAGGCTGAGGAACTTAAAGAGAGCAAAAAGCTAGAAAACAAGAACCTTTCTTTAGAGAAGAAAAATGCACATAAAAAGCAGAGGAATCAAGACAAAAGCAGAAGTACTACTGAGTCAGATAATCTGACATCTTCACTGGCCCAGACACTAAAGAGCTCAAGGGTGGCTGGGGAAGAGAGGGGCCTCCGGTCCACTGACTCTGCTGGAGAAGTGAGTACTCCCGGAGGGTTTGGTTGAAGGACTATGTGTTAAAATCTTACAGGATAAGCAATATTCCCATCTAGCTAGCGCTCTTTTGAGTGGTCAGGAAGTTTCACTAATAATGAAACAGTGGAACTATAACAGTGATGGCGAACCTTTTGAGCTCGGCGTGTCAGCATTTTGAAAAACCCTAACTTAACTCTGGTGCCGTGTCACATATAGAAAGTTTTTGATATTTGCAACCATAGTAAATAAAACAAAGACTTATATTTTTGATATTTATTTTATATATTCAAATGCCATTTAACAAAGAAAAAATCAACCAAAAAAAATGAGTTCACATGTCACCTCTGACACACGTGTCATAGGTTCGCCATCACTGAACTATAGGAACAGTTTTTCTCCTGTTAGGGCATTTAGTGTGCCTAGTAGCATTATAGCTTTTTACATCCTACTTCATATTTCCCCCCTGTTGTCTTAAGAATATACCACTCTTTACTCACATAATAGTGCACTGAGTACACTGACAATTAAAAGTCTTTTCTTAAAAAAAATATATTAAATAATTTGCCCCCTTATTTAAAAAGTTATTTTCCTATGGGTTTTCAAAATGAAACTATTTTACACATTATGAAGGTAATTCACATATCAAGGGCTATAAAAATGGTGAATTTTTTTTCATTCATTATTCCCAGTTTTGTAGACTTAAGGAAATTATTTTTAAGGGAGAAAGAGTTTTGTAGACAAATATATAGTAGTGTTATTTTCACAAAAACTAATACCAGTCTGTCTAGCTATGAGGAAATGGTTAAGAAAATGTATCAATTTGAGAACTATTATATATCCACAGAAATATTAATCATGAGATCAAAAGTACAAAATTTTATGGTGAAGAAAACCATACATACATATGAACATACTGGTGTAAAAATATTTGTGCAATGTAAATTTTTAAAATGAATTTTAAACAACGAAGTTATCTGCAAAATTAGAACATTCAGAAGGTAAGAATGTGCAGAAATAAAAAGTCATGTTTGGTTAGTAGGATTGTAGGGTACCATTTTTTTTTAATATATTTTATTGATTTTTTATAGAGAGGAAGGAGATAGTGAGAAACATCGATCAGCTGCCTCCTGCAAACTCCCCACTGGGGATGTGCCCGCAACCAAGTACATGCCCTTGACGGGAATCGAACCTGGGACCCTTGAGTCTGCAGGCCGATGCTCTATCCACTGAGCCAAACCGGTTAGGGCGGGTACCATTTTTTTTTTTTAATTTTCTTTATTTTTGATTGTAAAAAAACTCAACATAGACTTGACATTGGTGTTAGGTTTTGAATTTGACGTTTTGTAAATTATTGTTGAGGGATAATCTCGCTTGGGGAAGCAGTTTATATGAACAAGATTTAATCATCAGGGTCAGGTTCTATGGCACACAGAGGTGTCAGTGTCAAGTGGTATGAGCTCTTCTATGTACCTTTTCTGGGTCTTACATGTTTCTCTTTCAGGAGAAAGAGACCAAAAAAAACGAATCCAAAGAAAAATATCAAAAAAGGCATGATTTGGACAAGGAAGAAAAAGGCCGCAAAGAGCCAAAGGGATTAAACAGTGAGTGTTAATACTGCCATTTACCATTTCCATATTTTATACAAGGAATTAAATTTACTGTGAGACACTCTCCTAATCTTCTATGTCACAGAACTAAAAATAATCATTTGTTTATTTTTCAGTTACAGTTGACACACATTATTATATTAGTTTCAGGTGTACACCCCAGTGATTAGACATTATATAACTTACTAAGTGGTCATCTCAGTAAATCTCATAGCCATCTGACACCATACATAGTTATTAGAATGCTGTTGACTATATTCCTTATGCTATACTTTCCATCCCCAAGACTATTTCATAAAAACCAGTTTGTACTTTTAATCCCTTCACGTTTTTCACCCATTCCTCCAACACCCCCTCCCATCTTGGCAACCTTCAAAATGTTCTTTGTATCTATGAGTCTGTTTTGTTCTGCTTTTTGGCTTATTTTGTTTCTTGGATTCAACTGTTGATAGGTACATATTTATTGCCATTTTATTGTTCATTTTTTTAATCTTTTTTTTTCTTCTTAAAACCCTTTAACGTTTCATGTAATGCTGGTTTGGTGGTGAACTCCTTTAACTTTTTCTTGTCTGGAAAGCTCTTTATATGTCCTTCGATTCTAACTGGTAGGTTTACTGGGTAATCTTAGTTGTAAGTCCTTGCTATTCGTCACTTTGAATATTCTTTGCAACCTCCTTTCTGACCTGCAAAGTTTCTGTTGAGAAATCAACTGACAGTCTTATGGGAGCTCTCTTGTAGATAACCAACAGTTTTTCTCTTGCTGCTTTTAAGACACTTTCTTTGTCTTTAACATTTTAATGATGATGTGTCTTGGTTTGGGCCTCCTTGGGTCATCTTGTTTGGGACTCAGCACTTCCTGAACTTGTGTGTCTATTTCCTTCACCAGGTTAGGATATTTTCTATCTTTTTGTTGTTGTTGTTGTTAATCCTCACCTGAGGATATTCAGAGAGTGGAAGGGAGGGAAGTGGGGAGGGGGCAAGAGAGAGAGAGACAGGGAAGGAGGGAGAGAGAGAGAGAAACACTGATACAAGAGAGACACATCAATTGGTTGCCTCCTCCACATGCCCTGACCAGGGCTGGGGATTGAATCTGCAACTCAATTCCCCTGCCCTTGACTGGGAATCAAACCCACAACCCTTCGGTGCATAGGTTGAAGTTCTAAACACTTAGCCACACAAGCCAGGGCTGTCCTTTTTTCAAATAGGTTTTCAATTCCTTATTCTCTCTTTTTTCCTACTGGTACTCCCATGATGCAAATGTTTGCATACTTCCAAGTTTTCTCAGAAGCTCCTTACACTACCTTCATATTTTTGGATTCTTTTTTCTTTTTGCTGTTCTGATTGAGTGTTTTGTTGTTGTTTGCTTTCTTGTATTCCAAATTGCTGCTTTGATTCTCATCATCATCTACACTACTGTCGATTCCTTGTAAATTATTTTTCATTTTAGTAAATGTACTATTCATTTCTGACTGATTCTTTATTATGGTTTCTTTGTCCTTTTTCATGCTGTTGAAGTTCTCACTAAGTTCCATTGTTTTGAACTCTGTATTTGGTTGTTTGCTTCCATTTCATTTAGTTCTTTATCTGGAGATTGCTCTTGTTCTTTCATTTGGAACTTATTTTTTCGTGTCTGCATATGTTTGTTTCTATGTATTAGAGCTGCTATGTCTCCTGGACTTGGTAGAATAGCCTTTTGTCGTAGGTGTCCTGTAGGGCCCTATGGCGCACCTTCCTGAGTCACTAGAGCTGGGCACTCCAGGTGTGCTCCTGTCTGAGCTGTGTGCACTGTCCTGTTGTAGTTAATTGTTGATTGCTTTTGGCCTCACTGAGAGGGATGGACTCCCAGGCCGATCAGCTGTGAGACCCTGCTGCAACTACAGCAGAGGAGCTGCTGTGCAGGAGTGGATGCTGCAGAGCAATACATGCTCCAGTGGGGCTTTGATGTCCATGAGTCTGCCCCTTGAGTGTATCACTTTTGGGGTTGGTAGGGTTGCAGTCTGGTATGGTTTGCAGCTGTCCCCTGGATTCCCTGGCTGTGGAACCTCCTAGGAAGTGCAAGGTCAGCCGCCTGGCATTGAGCTATAGAGTGATCTGCAGATGGCTGCTACTTATGTTGGGAGGTACCCAGGAGAGGCAAAGCTGTGAACCAAGGTTGGCTGTTGGTAGTGCTGGGCCTGAGGCCACTTAGCAAGAGGTATGGGATATGCAGGGGCCAGATGCTGCATGTTTGAGAGGTTTTCAGTAAGTTCGAAGCATAAGGCAAGAGAGGCCATTTGTAAGGAAAAGCCACTGGAAATGGCTTGGGTGGGTCCACAAACTGGGTGTGGTAAAGAGTGTGAGCCAGGTTAATGGAGACTCAGATAAGGCTTCTGCCTGCACTTTTCATTTGGGCAGTAAGCTGCCCCCTCCCCTGCTCTTGCCCTCATGACAGACAATTCAGTTCCTTCTCGTAAGTCCCTGTTTCCTTTCAAGCTGCTACCCCATCACTGGAGGTTAAAGGGAGTGAGTTGGACTAAGTCCATGCATGGATCCTTTAAGAGGAATTGCCTGGGATTCTAGCAGCCCTTCATCTCCCTCAGCCACAGTCCCTGGTGGTTTTTCCAGCCAGAAGTTATGGGGACTTGTCTTATATTTATTTTTTTATTTTTTTGTTAATCCTCACCTAGATTTTTTCCCCCCATTGATTTTTAGAGTGGAAGGGAGAGAGACAGAGACGAGGGTGGGGAAGGAGGGAGAGAGAGAGAGACATATATCAATGTGAGAGAGACAAATAAATTGGCTGCCTCCCACACATGTTCTGACCAGGGCTGGGGATCAAACCCGTGACCCTTTGATGTGTGGGCTGACACTCTAACCATCAAGCAACACTGGCCAAGGCCCAATTTTATTAATTTATTTTCAGAAAGAGAGAAACACTGATTTATTGTTCCACTTATTTATGCAGTCATTGGTTGATTCTTATATGTGCCCTGACCAGGAATCAAACCTGCATCCTTGGCGTATTGGGATAATGCTCTAACCAACTGAGTTACTAGGTCAAGGCCATACCTCCCCTGGCCATGCCTCCCAATTTTAAACCGCCACAGGTGGGTGTGGGACCAGCCTATTCCATGTATCTGCCCCTTTTCTGGTTATTATGTCAGATTTAGTGCTTTGCCAATCTTCTTTTCACTTTTATTTTTAGTTAAAAGTGGAACCAGCTGGTGTGGCTCAATGGTTGAGCGTTGACCTATGATCCAGGAGGTCAGGGTTCGATTCCTAGTCGAGGCACATGCCCAGGTTGCAGGCTCGATCCCCAGTGTGGGGCATGCAGGAGGCAGCCGATCAATGACTCTCATCATTGATATTTCTGTCTCTCCCTCTCCCTTCCTCTCTGGAATTAATAAAAATATATTTTTTTAAAAAAGTTGTGTGGAGTTTCACATGCATCCACTAATTTCTACCAGATGCACAGTCAGTGTGCTGGCATGGTACCCTCCCATTTCCCCGCTCACCCCAGAAATCATTGTGTACAATGTTAGCTTCAGGTTACAGTTGTAGGCAGATGTCTAAGCAGGACAGTTGGTGGTATGACTGGGGTTATTTTGAGGCTGACTGTCTTGTCAAAACTGGGAATGGTTCATAACAGTGGAAAACAGCCATTCACTTTCTATGTAAACCCTTTCTAAGCATTGAGCAGCCAATAGAAAGACCAATTGAAACAGCTTCATGGGTTTGATAGTACAAACCTAGTGATGCTTTAGAACCAAGGTAGATATTAGTAAAAATTAAGGAAATACCTGTTTCTTTAACACAAACCCAGATTTTCTTTTGATTACAACAGAAATTGTGATTCCTATTCATCACCATTTTTATTTTTTTCACTAGCATTTAAGGAAATCAGAAATGCATTTGATTTATTTAAATTAACTCCAGAAGGAAAAAATGATTTTCCTGAGAATAATCAGAAAAGAGAAGAAACACCACTGGATTGTAATTTTGCAGAAGATCATAAAACCAAGGAAAACAATCAGGTACTTAAAGAAAGGAGAAACACAAGAGATGAGACTGACACATGGGCATGTATAGCTGCAGAAGGTGATCAGGATGTTCTAGATGGTATGTGCCCAGCCGACGAAAATTCTGGTGAGTGTTTGCATTCAGTTTGCATATTTTCTCAGGGCTGTATGATTTCACTCACCTCATTTTTTCCCATTGTAACTCAAGATCAGAAAATAAAGGCATAGATGATTTTGATTCAATTTCCTGAATAAACAGCTTTTTATATTGAAAACTGAGGCCATTCTGTGGTTTTTAAATTGACCACACAAATATTTTATAAGTCCCTATGATGTGACCAGCACATTTTGAAATTGTACAAATTTCAGGTATTCTGCCTTTATCACTCTTGCCAAGTAGCTTGATTGTATACCTAATAGATTTCTTTCAGAAAATTATCAAATGCAGACTTACTTATATTCTGTCCTTTTAACTTTGCAGCAAATGACACTTCCTAAATGGCATGTTTGTAAATGCTCTCCTGATGATGTTGGGATTGGCTGAAGTGGGAGGTCAATGTGTGGAATATTGGGCACATGGCTGTGAGGGTAACAGAAAGAGTGCAATATATATGTACTTATAACTAGGACAGAATAAATCTGATAAAACTATCATTTGAATCTTGAAACAGTTGAAAAGAATTAATGTTACAGAATATATGGCAGAGTGGATAGTCTGGGTTGCCTTGTTACTACAAAACAATTAGGCCCTAGGTATCAGGTAAATCATGCTTTTAGATGCATTAGCTTATAGGAAATTGGGACAATTGCTAGGACCTATATATAGACAAGGGAGAGGAGGAAATGGCTTGCCCCGAGGCCAGATGCCAAATAGCAGCTCTGCTATTTAGGATACCAGGCAGTGAACACACACAGTAGATGTTGGTTTGTACCCTTGGGCATCCCCAGATGACATCTGACCACCCTTTACACAGAGGGCAGGGAGAAACTGGAAGGCAGCCACCCCAAATTGGTAGTCGGCAAGTAGAATAAGCAAGGGAACTTACATACGAGGCTCATCTTGGGAGACTGTGAGGCAAGTAGATCTCCAAACTGCCTGCCAAGTCTTAAAGTTTATAGAGAGGCCTAAATGATGTTCAGTCATGTGTTCAGTCCAGGTGGTCTCACAATACCTTCTGCTATCAAGGCTGCATCCCTGAAGTGACTCCCACTGTGGGAGAATGGCGGTGAGGACATACATTCTAGGTATTGGAGGATTGAGGGAACCTCCAGTTGCCTATGATGTTCAATCAATGGTCATGTCCTTTGAATGACCTCTTCCAACACTCCACCCCTTGTGACTGGCTCTTACAATGTCACATGCCTCCACTTCCACAATGTGCCCTTGAGGGGTCAGCATGGGTTTTCACAGCACGGAAGTGGCTCATTTGGCCTCTCTCTGGTTGCATTGGAGACAGCCACAGTACAGGCGTATGCAAGCAATAACAGGTTAAGACAATGATTTCCAAAGCAAGTAATAATTTTTCCTTTAAGCCCCAAGATCAGAACCATTGATTTATTAAGTCTGCTAGGCTAGGGGTCAGATCACTCAGTGCATTCACTTGTGTCCTCAATGTGATACATTAGCAGACTAATGGTGTGAACACATTGTGTTTGGACAGTGGCACAGGTCTGCCTCCTTGTGAGACAGTAGTAGTTTCCAAGCCATCCTGCTTCAGAGGACAGCTCTCTCTCAGGGACTTTTCAGTATTCAATAAAGATGGGCTTTGTTGGCTAACATTCAAGGCTTGGGTGAGCTTAGTGTAGGGGCTTTCTTGTGTGTCATAACATCATCCAGGGCAGTGGAGGGAACAGAGATGGTGGCCGAATGATGGCATCCATGGTAAACCAAATCTGTCCTTGAGGAGAGGGGGGTTGGCAACTTTAGGAACTTGACCAGGACATGTATACCATCCATGTCAGCTGGAGCACACTGGGTGAGGAGATGGACTGCTGGGAGTAGAACATGCCAGACCGGGACCCCCAGCTCTTCTCCTCTGTGTGGTGCATGTTTCTTTCCAGGTGCTTTTCCACGGGTCATCTGACAGGACAGCAGGGTCCCAAGTGTAGTTCCCCTCACCTGGGATGCCAAGTCACCCTCATCCCAGTGGGACACCTCATTGCAAATTCCTATAGATGATGGATGCCTCTTCTAGGTGTGAGGGGGGCTTCATGTTCTTAGCAGCACAGCACTTTGGTCCACAATTCGAGTCAGGGCCATGACTGTCTCTTGTGACTTACGTTCCTTTATGGCATGAGTGGGGAACCTTTTTTCTGTCAAGGGCTATTGGGATATTTATAACATCATTTGCCAGCCATACAAAATTTTTAACTTAGAAAAATTAGCCTGCTGTATTTGGTTAAACATTTAATTAACTCACCCCTAATGCCTTGGCAGGGCCAGATTTTGTGGGCCGGGGCCCGGCAGGCGTTCCCTACCCCTGCTTTATGGCATTAGGTACCTCAACAGGGGTCCCTAGTCTGTCATATGGACAATGGGCCCTACTGGCTGATCATTCAACTGTATGAAAGCCTGGGATAGTACTTTAGCCCACCTTGGTAAGGCGGTTTACCTGGTAGTAACGTAATCTGTGGCTTTACTACTCATTCCTTTCTACCAGCCCTATTGCCTGCAGGTCATAAGGGAGATGGACCTCCAGTCAGTGTCATGTTCTTTTGCCCAGTCTAGCACATTGTGATCTCTAAAACGTGACCCCATCACTGTCTTCTCAACTTCTCTAATCCTCTAGGAGTGGCAGCCTGGTTTGCATAGCAACAGGGAATAGCTTTGGTTTGCCCCACTTGGAGGGAGGGGCTGATACAATGAATGTGTGCCCCCCAACTCCTGTGGCAGTTGCCCTATGAATTGTTTAATACTGTCACTGCATTAACAAGTCACTATTTCTGGAGCGATACTCCCATCCGACCCAGGCGCTGTGGTGGCCGCTCCTGTGTACCTATCTGCTGCATCCACTGAAGGGTCAGCTGTTGGGGCCTCACATTCCTGATTGCCCGCGGGTGTTAGTGCGTCATGTGTTGGGATGTGGAAAAGTGAGGAGCCTTAGGCTCTTGCAGGTGGACTCAAATGTCTTTCCACATGTCCTGACCCCACAAAAGCTCACTCTGATCATCCACCTGTGGCTTCACACTGTCTGAGCCGTAGGGTCAACCCCTTTAGAATAGCCTACCTATTAGTGCAAAGTATTAATGGCCAGGGCTCTTGACTGATTGATCATCAGCCAAGCCCACTGGCTGCTGCAGGCCCTCTTTGTTTCCATACAGACAGTGTTGTGTTGGGTTGAATAACAGCGGTAACCCCACTGGACAGGTTGCCCAACTAGACCATGTATCGGGCATCGGCAGTAATCGCCCCATGTTCTGTTGAGGCCGCTGTATAAAACTATAGCAGGAGATAACAGCATTTACCTGGGCATGTTCAGACACCTCAGAATCAGGTCCTTGCAGATTTAAAAACCAGATAGATTCATGGGGAAGAGAGATCTTGATTTGGAGCTCTGTGTTCTGTTCCTTAACAATCCTGTAAATTAGATGGCCTTGTCTCCATTTATATGGCCTCTCATTTGTATGGCCTCCTCAGTGCTTCCTGTGGTTTGTGGTTTCCCACAGTTTTGGGAGGAGGTGGCTCGCTTTCCTCGACAGTGACCTCACAGGTCATTATAGTCTAAATGCATTAATTCACAGAAATAATTACACAATCCTTATGGGGTGTTAGCTGCTTTTTCTATTCAGAGAGGGAGGTACAGTGAGTTCTGTGACTTAAAGTCACACAGCTAACAGGGAGCTTGAGTACAGATCTATGTGTGTCACTCGAGGCTGTGCTGTCATGTCTCCATGCTCAGTGCTGGTTCCAGCTGAGAGCTTTGGGAGAAGTGTATTTGCATTGCTTTTACAAATTCCATTTCTATGGCGAGGTTAACTGCCTAACATCTGTGTCATTTGAGGAATTGGTTTTAGGTAAAAGTCTTTAACTATTTGTGCTTTTCAGTCATTTTTAATTTCTCCCAAATGAGTTATGCTTAAGACTCACTGAGTCCAGGGATCAGACAACTGAGACCAGCATTTGCTTAATGGTGGTGGTGGGGCCTGGAGTACACTCAGTAGAGAGGGCTTTCAGGAGGAAAAGTGTGATCCGAGTCTGGAAGGATCAAAGGGCATTTACTGTTATTTACACACGTCTGATTTACACATTTCCAATCATTGAAAGCAATGTACAAGAAGAATGGCCAAAGAAAGAAATGTTAGCAGTTCCTCTTACTGACTCTAGTTTCTCTCTTTCTTGGAGCTACTTAATCTTATACTTACAATTCATATTTTACTATTTTATAAATAATAGTTTACCAGTTTATCTTTAAGCTTTTGAAGCACTGTAACTTCTAAATATGGGTAGTTTATGTTTACTTGCCAAAGAAAATCAGAAATTTCATTGAAGACTCAGTTACATAATGACATATGTTAAAGGTGTATATGAAGTTTTGGTTAAGTCAGTACAGAAAAAAGTATTTTAAAGCCCTTCTGTGTTCCAGATGGAAGACAGCAAATTTTGAGTCTGGGCATGGACCTGCAGCTGGAATGGATGAAACTAGAAGATTTTCAAAAGCATCTTGATGGGGAAGATGAGAACTTTCCTGTAACAGATGCCATTCCAAGTAGTGAGTAGTGTGGGAGTTAAAGGATCCTTTTCATAAATCTAGATACAGAAACCTAATATCATTTCTTTCATTTTAGATTTATTGAGAGATGCTGTGAAAAATGGGGATTATATTACTGTGAAGGTTGCACTTAATTCAAATGAAGAATATAACCTGGACCAAGAGGTAGTAAATACATCTTTGTAAAATCTCATGAAAGGAATATGTAAATTAGCTTTTAAAATAATTGTTTTCTTTTTTATTTAGCTACAAAAGTATTGCATTTTCATTTTATAAAATTCAAAAATTGCAGAATGTAGAAAATTTTAGTCCCTGTATTCCCACCCCTAAAGTGACCATTTGGTTCAGCTGTGATCCTTCTGATTTTGTCAATGGTTTAACCCAGGGGTGGGCAAACTTTTTGACTCGAGGACCACAATGGGTTCTTAAACTGGACCTGAGGGCAGGAACAAAAGCATGGAGGAGTGTTTGTGTGAACTAATATAAATTCAAAGTAAACATCATTCCCGCGGGCCGTAGTTTGCCCATTGCTGGTTTAACCTCTACTGCTATTAGGGGTGGTGTTTCAAGTCACTGTGTTTCATTGAGAGCTGTCTATTAACAGCAACTGCCCGACTTCCTATTGTTGCTGTGGGTTTTATACTGATTTATGAATTGTTTTTTTTCAGCCTTGTTGAAACCAGGCCACCAAAAATTTGGTTGCCTCCCCCCCCAAAAAATGGGAGAATATTTTGTGTGTGTTTTTAAATATGAAAGCATATTAACCCTTTTTTTCCTGGTTTTTAGCTTTGTTGGTTTTTTGTTTTTGTTTTTTTAATCTTTTATTGCTTGGAGGGTTTCTGTTTATTTTTATTTTCTCACCTGAGAATGTCTTTCTTCGAGACAGAAACATTGGTCAGTTGCCTCCAGCACGCACACAGAATGGGAATTGAACTGGCATCCTGAGTATGTGCCCTGATCAGGAATTGAACCCACCAGCTTATGGTGTCCTGGACGAAGGTCCAACCGAGCCACCTGGCCAGGGTAGAGGGCTTATATTTTTAGGTAGTTACATCTGTTGATCTTTTCCTTTATGGCTTTTGGGTGTCCTGTCTTGCTTAGAAAAGATTTATATATTTTCTTCTTTCATTTTCTTGCTTATAGTTGTGGATCTTTAAGTTTAATCATTTGAGGTTACACTTCAAAAAATTATTTTGATTAAAATTGCATGAAATATATAGCCAAAACCGGTTTGGCTCAGTGGATAGAGCGTCGGCCTGCGGACTGAAAGGTCCCAGGTTCGATACTGGTGAAGGGCATGTACCTGTGTTGCGGGCACATCCCCAGTAGGAGATATGCAGGAGGCAGCTGATCAATGTTTCTCTCTCATCAATGTTTCTAACTCTCTATCTCTCTCCCTTCCTCTCTGTAAAAAATCAATGAAATATATAGATCAATTTGGCTGAGAATTAACATGATTACATTTTCAGTCTTCCATTTAGGAACATAACTACATTCAGTTCTTCATTTTAATTCCTTAGGCAAAACAATTTTTTTCTTCATAGTTATTTATTTCAGATCAATTTCTAAATATGTTATAATTTTGTAATTATCTTGCTATGATTATGAGATCTTTTTTCTCCTACATTTTGTTTTCTAACTGTGATAAAGGTATTGATTTCTGTTTGTGTTTGTGTCTCCAGCTACTTTAGAAAATTCTCTTAAGTTAGTTTCTGGATAGTTTGACCACTTGCTAAAAATAACTATTTTGTTTCCCTTATTTTCAATATTTCTTTCTTTGGTTTTGTGAAATTGGTGATATCTGAACAACAGTGGTGATAGAAGTGATCTGTTCTGTTTTTGGTCTGAGTAGGATTTTCCCTCAGGGTCATGGCATCAGGTTTGATTTCTGTCTTGTTGGTGGTTTACCTCCTATACTCTGCCTTTTTTTTTTTTTTTTAAGCTGCTTAAGTATCAGGGATGCATGTTGGGTTTTATCAGATGTTTTCTTTGAAGATTTGAATAACAATTCCTAAAAGATTTACTTTTCCAGAAAATTGTAGCTACACGGTGCATTGCATCTGTCAAGGTAAAACATGCATGCATTAGTCACAAAACAAGCCACCATTTTTCAACAATCTGAGCAAAGATAAAATGCCTAAGGAACAATATAGATGATTTGCAAAGGTTGGATTCTTTAAGCACCAGTTTAAAAAAAACCACAAGTGGATGAGTATCTTCAGTTCTGGGTACTAAATTCAACCTTTTGCATTAGGAATTAGAGCACTTTGTCATATAACAGAAACGTATTATAAAAGTGAGTAGTGGCAAAGGAATGGAACCGCCAGCATTCATAAACAGCTTTGTTGCCCTGGCTGGGTGGTTCAGTTGGTTGCACCAAAAAGTGGAGTGTTCGATTCCTGGTCACAGCACATATCTAGGTTGTGGGTTCAGTCCTCACTCCGAGCATTCTCTCCCTCTCTCCCTCCACCCCTCTTTCTTCCTCCCTCCCTCTCTAAATATATCCTTGGGTGAGGATTTTTTTTAAAAAAAAGGGAGGCCTATGAAAGCACATCACTCACTAACCCTCCTGAAATTCAGACTTTGGTCCTGCTTCAGAGCCATTTATTTGCTGCCACTGCCTCCTCCTCCTCCTCCCACCACCCTGACTATGGCCCCTACTCTCCAACTCACCCAGTCTTTGTGAGATGCATGCAGGGAACTTTCTAAAGTTAGATTTTTATAAATCTAGAGAAAGTGCTATTGCTAGAAATAATTTTTCATACATTAGTGTTCCCTCAGATTACTCATACTGGCAAATTCTTCTAAAACTTTCAGATTATAACCAAATTAATGCATACTATTGGAATTTGGTTGTATCAGATGGTAATTAATGGTTTGGTTTTCTCATCTGGTGTTTGTTTTAACTAGCAATTGGAAATAATTTTAGCTAATACTTACCTTTTTATTATTCACTAACTTTACGTAATTTTATCTTATTCAAAGCAGTTGTTTTACTCACCTTTTTCATATCAGTTTTGTTCCTTACTTATGAATCTTTTTTATCCTTAGAGCAGTCAAACTCTTACTTCCCAGCAGTTAGCAATGGTTTTTTAACCCAGATAACATTCATTTCATTGTGTCCTCAATACACTGGGCTTAGGTGACCAGTGGTCATTTCTAGCCTTACATCTTTGGGCCAACTAAATGAATATAATCAATGTATGAGTTTTGCCTAGAACACAAGGAAACTTTTAGACCTGAAATTTGAGATAAATACCTTTGCCATCTAGATAGCTTCAAGAGTTGTGCAAAGTATTGATGTGCCTTTAGAACATAATACATCGAAGTTTTAAAATTTTGTAACTGTTGGAGTACTTACTCTTTGATCCTGCTTGACTATGCTAACTGTGGCAGCACAGGTCCTTCTCTGCCAAGAACTGGACCTTCATGGACGCCGAGTATTAGACGGAGAAGACATGAGAAGTCGAAGGCGTATAAGAAAGAGTCTTTATTGCAGACCAAGTAGCCATTGCTGCTAAGTAGCCATTAGACAAAGCAGTTCTTCAAAGTAGCTTACTAAACAGTAGCTGCACAAAGCAACCTAAGCAAACATAGGAGCCATTGCACACACAGCAGCCCAGCTCTACATAAAAGCAGTCTTTACATAAAAACAGCCTTGTACCACCTGGTTAGTAATACATCTTTATACCAGCTTAGACAAAGAGGCTTCTTGCCAAATAGTGACATCAATATTTGGGCCTCAGAAAGGTACACCTGTTCAGTGCATACAGTAAGATTGCTATGTCCTTGCTTAGATTGGCCTTGAACATCCAGTGTACTCTGATTAAGGTTCCCATAGTAACATTTATATATATAAAATTCCAAAGGTTATTAGTTTTTTTTTATTAGGATATTTTAGTGAAAAAAATTAAGTAGATGCTTAACTCAATGTACTTTAATAATTTCACGTTGAAACAGTCTAGATGAAAAGAACTTAGTTATACAATTTTTATGATTAAACATTGCCTTTTTTCCTTACACAAAACTAATGAAGGATTCAAGTGGGATGACACTGGTGATGCTTGCTGCAGCTGGAGGTCAGGATGATCTACTGAGGCTTCTCATCAGAAAGGGAGCCAAAGTGAATGGCAGACAGAAGAATGGGACCACTGCACTCATTCATGCAGCTGAAAAGGTTGGTCACTCACAGTGCAGCCATTTCATAGTCTTACAGGAATTCCTGCTCCCGGACTAAGACAAAATCTGTTTCTGTAGTGAAATATAACAGTCATACAGTCAACTTAATTTTATTTTTCAGTTTTTCTATGACTTATCATGAATGGATGCTTTCTTTTAAATCAACAATACTTTGCAGTTGAATTTTCAAAATGATTATCTAGTTGGAAGGGATTTATATTCAACAGGACCTCCGATTAAGGTACTAAAATTAGTTTCAATCAATAGGGTCTTGATTGAAAAATCATTTCCAATTGAAAATAATTAAAATGTTCCCAGATATTATCTATCTAAAGCAGCGGTTCTCAACCTGTGGTCGCGACCCCTTTCGTGGTCAAATGACCCTTTCACAGGGGTCGCCTAAGACCATCCTGCATATCAGATATTTACGTTACGATTCATAACAGTAGCAACATTACAGTTATGAAGTAGGAACGAGAATAATTTTATGGTTGGGTCACAACATGAGGAACTGTATTTAAAGGGCCAGAAGGTTGAGAACCACAGATCTAAAGGATTGCTATGCAGAGGGTCTTATGTAGAAAGCAGTGGTTAGCCCTCAGATTGAACTTGCTGGCAAAACAGAGTGTGGCTGAGCAGGGGACTAAACCCACCCAGCACCTCTGGTTCTCACAAGACCCTGCGTAGTAAAGAACCAGGAAATTTCACCTACCTTCTTGGGATAGACTGTCTTTTTCCTGGTGGCTAAAAGTTTCAAAACATCCAAAAATATCTTACTTTTGAATATAAGAATTTGAAGAATTAAATTTGTTTCTTTTCTTTAATAGAACTTTTTAACTACAGTGGCTATTCTTTTGGAAGCAGGAGCTTTTGTAAATGTCCAGCAGAGCAGTGGTGAGACCGCTTTAATGAAGGTAAATGCCTCACGATTGCTCATCCCCTCCATGCCTCAGATGTGTATGTTGGGGTCTCCGACAGCTGGGGTCTGGGGATTTGATGGGGAACAAGATAATCTCTGGACTTGCACATGATAGATGAATGGGAAAAGTAGCATCAGAGAAGCACTTAACATGTAGTGTGATGAGTAATGCGAGAGGAGTAAGCATGGAGCTAAGGGATGACATCAGAGTCCAGACAAGATTCAGTCCTGTGGCTCCCAGGCAGCCTTAGGGTTCCTGTGACAGGTGGCCTCACTGTGGCTGTGAACAGGGATGAACTGTGCAAATGGGAACTGGAGTGGGCTATGCACAGAGCCACAGGCGTGAAGTGGAGGCTATAATCTAGTTTTTAAAGCTGAATTAATCACTTCATCCATTGTGTATTAGGAATTGTGGTTTGCAGATAGTTTTAAGTGGAAGGTTGTTAAAGCTGCCCCCGTGCACTCCTGTATTACCCCTCCATGGTTAGTGGTTTTGCATTTGCATCTATGGGGGCTAGTTCTGCATGTTCTAGTCTTTTCCTGGGGCAGTTCTGGGTTTCTGGCGTAAAATGCTATTAGGATACAGCAGTTTTTAACACCTAGTAGTGGTTTAGTTCCCCAAGTGGAGGCTGTGCTGCTGCCCTGTCCTTAGACACAGTTTATGAGCTATTGGCGTTTGTCTGCAGTCTGCTTTCAGCCTTCTTTCATGAGTCAGTAAACAAGCATGGCCACAGCCAGGTTCACAGTGGGCTGCCTGAATCTGCTTTCTAATTCGTTATTCTAAAGGCCTGGCCTGCCTGCTGCTTCAGCCTTAGGGTTTTACACTTAGGGTTTAAACCCGGCTCACTGTTTGTGTTTCCATTTCATTGGTGGCTCGTGGAAATATTTTGTTCAGGACCCCTACTTTTGAATTTGTTTTCCATTATGTTTGTAAATTGTCCACTGTTTAGAGCAGAGGTAGCATTCAAATATCTTACTGAGAAATCACCAAGTGGGTTCTAAACAGATACTCTAGAGTGGTCTTTAAAGTGTGTCTCAGGGCCATTCTGGATTTAAATTCAGACATGTATCCATGCTTATTAGTCTCCTCAGAGCAGATACTAGGAAAATTCTGAGATTTTGTGATGCTAAGAGGCACTTTAGATTCCCAGGGCTTTCCTAATAAGACAACAGGACATGGATGGAGAGTGGAGCTTAAAAAGGCCTGGTGTTTCTTCTGGGTTGTGATAGAGGTATCGTTTTGAATGTAGCATAGATTTCTGTACTGGACCCCTCCTGTTTATGTAAACGTTTCTAATACCCAGGGAGACCCAACTCCAGGTTTTTTCCAACCGTCTTTCCCTCTCTTCACAAAGAGCTCCCAGGCTGTCTCATGTGTAAAGAAAGGGACAAACACTGACTGGTAGTTAACTTTAATTAATTATTGCTCCTTTTTTTTGGGGACTTAGGCCTGTAAAAGAGGAAATTTGGATATTGTACGACTTGTAATTGAATGTGGAGCTGACTGCAATATTTTGTCAAAGCACCAAACTAGCGCAATGTATTTTGCAAAGCAGTGTAACAATGTGTTGGTGTACGACTTGCTGAAGAATCATTTAGACACGTAAGTGCGCTGTGACTGTGCCATAGTTAAGTTACAGGGCTGGACACATCAAAACAGGAATGGCCTAGCTCTAGCAACGTGGCTAAATTGGTTAAAGAATCATTCATCCCATACACTAGAAGGTTGCAGGTTTGATTCCCAGTCAGGGCATATGCCTAGGTTGTGAGTCTGATCTCCAATTGGGGTGTGTAAAGGAGGCAAACAATAGATGTTTCTCTCACATTGATATTTCTCTCTCCCTCCCCCATTCTCCTCCCCAAAATAAAAAACCATATCCTCATGAGGATTAAGAAAGAAAGGCTTTGCTAGGTTCCTCCGTCTATCAAACACTAGTTTAAATTAAACTATAATTTTATCTCCCTCTGGTAGCAGGCCCTCTATCTAAATTATTTTCACACACACAAAAGACAAAAACTGGAATGGTCTGTATATGTAACTGCTCAGAAAAGACTGTCAAGTAGAGGTCCCAATGGGCTTCTCTTCTCAAAAGATCACAGATTTTTTTTAAAAAAAAAAAAAAGATCACAGATTTAAGTGGCATATGAATTACTTTTCTACAGGTATTGAGGTCTTAGAAACTTTTAGACTTAATCTAGAAGCATCTCCTTAAAATCTTGACTATGCTCTTAATTTGGCTCACATTTTCTTAAATTTTAGTTCATTCTTGTTTTTTAATGGACACAATTTTTAGAGCACTTTCAGGCTCACTGTGACATTGAACGGAAAGTACAAGAGATCTTCCATATAACCCCTGCCCCCACACATGCACAGCCTCCCCCACCTCTTCTACCAACGTGGTACAGTTAATGAACCTATCGTCCATGTTTGTTAGTTCACCTTGGTGTTGTACATTCTGTGGGTTTTGATAAATGTATGACATATATCCACCATCATAGTATCACACAGAATAGTTTCATTGCCCCCCGGGCTCCACTTATTTATTCATCCCTCTCTCCCCACTAAACCCTGAAAATATTTTTGTCTCCATATCATATTTTTGCCTTTTCCAGAATTTCACATAGTTGGAATCATATAGTATGTAGCCTTTTCAGATGGTCTTCTTTTACTTACTGATATGCATTGAAATGTCCTCCATGTCTTTTCTTGGTTTTATAGCTCATTTCTTTTTAATGCTGGATCATTCCATTGTCTAGGTGCTTCACAGTTTACCCATTCTTTTTCAAAAGAATTCTAAAACATTTATTTTGGCAACACATAACAGGAACGTCACAGACAGTAGCTAACACAAGTAAGGTGTTTATTATTCATATAACCAAGTATAGAGGTAGGCAGTTTAGGCAGGAATAGCCTCTTTCTCATCCACCATAGTTAGAATCTGACTTTGGTCTTCATGTCTACAAGATGGTAACTCCAATTCCAGGTGTAGGAGATCTATATTCTAAGCAGAAAGTATGGTCAGTTTGGACAGGAGACAAAAAAGGTGGCAAAGGTCAAAATAAAGGAATATGTGCGTAGTGAGTGTGCCCTCTTTTTTTTTTTAATATACTTTATTAATTTTTTACAGAGAGGAAGGGAGAGAGTTAGAAACATCGATGAGAGAGAAACATCGATCAGCTGCCTCCCGCACATCTCCCACTGAAGATGTGCCCGCAACCCAGGTACATGCCCTTGACCGGAATCGAACCCGGGACCTTTCAGTCCACAGGCTGACGCTCTATCCACTGAGCCAAACCGGTTTCGGCGAGTGTGCCCTCTTTAACAGCCTTTGATGAGAGCCTCACCCAACCCATTATTTTTTTGTTGTTAATCCTCACCCGAGAATTTTTTTTTTATATTTTATTGATTTTTTTACAGAGATGAAGGGAGAGGGACAAAGAGTTAGAAACATCGATGAGAGAGGAGCATCTATGACGCTCCATCCAGTGAGCCAAACCAGCTAGGGCGAGGATATTTTTCCATTGACTTTTGGAGAGATTGGAAGGAAGGGGGAGAGACAGAGAGAAACATCCATGTGAAAGAGACACATGAACTGGTTGCCTCCCACACGCACCCCAACCGGGCCCGGGGATTGAACCTGCAACCCAGGTAAGTGCCCTTGACCAGAAATTAAACCCAAGACCCTTCCATGTGTGGGCCAACATGTTACCCACCGAGCAATACCAGCCAGGGCCCAACCAATAATTTGTGTGTGACTGACCAGCATTTATGGCTACATGGAATCCTGGGAAACTAGCTCATCTCAGTTTGTTCACATGGATAGCCTGCAAGTAGGTCGACCAGCCTTCCTGGTTTGCATGATACATGGAGCGATTCCTGGGATGCTGGCAAACCAAATGAGTTGGTTACCTTCTTAGTGAGATAGTTTCTGCCTTTTTGCAGCCATCATTGAAGCAGCAGCATCCAGAAATGAAGTTTAATTCCTTTGTGACTTCTGACCAGAGCAAATCCATAAAAATCATTTCAATGCATTTTTCCACTTATTCTCCTGTTTTCAAAGAGTTGAGGCAGACGTACAATGTTCAATTCATGCCCATCCAAAAGGATGACAAAGGGCAGCAAATTGGCAAAATACTTTAAGTTTCTGCCATCTGTAGAAATCTTAGTCATAAATCTTAGTCATTCACCCCAGCAAGGTGGTTATCACTAGACTAAATCTGGACAAATATCACAAAAAGATCCTTGAGTGTAAAGCCAAATCTCACCAAGTAAAAAAAAGAAAAGGGCAAACATAAGGAAGAAACAATTGAGAAAATGCAGGAATAAAGTAATCTTATATACCACTTTTCATTAAAAACTGTTTAAATGAAAAAAAGTTTTCTGAATTTTATTTGACTGCTTGTGTGTGTGCCAATTCTTGGATTTATTTTTTAACAGAATTCTCATTTCTGATTCTCCAAACTGATCATTCATTTATTAGACAGATATTTATTGAACACTATGTGCCAGGCACTTTTCAGACTGCTGGGGAGATGGAGAGAGCAGTGGGGGTAAGGACTGCCTCATGGAACCGGAATCCTTGGCAGAGGACAGACAGAAAGACAAATGGCATGTCAGGTGCCCAGTGCAGAGTAGAGGGATGAGGGAATTGCATGTTATTTTTAAGGTTGATCTGGGTTTAACAGTTTTATAATTTTATGGCTCATGATTCTTTTTTACATTAATAGTAACTCTTCCTATATACTTTATTACTAGACTTTCAAGAGTAGCAGAAGAAACGATAAAGGATTACTTTGAAGCACGCCTTGCTCTTCTAGAACCAATTTTTCCAATAGCATGTCATCGTCTCTGTGAGGGGCCAGATTTTTCAATGGATTTCAATTATAAACCTCCACAGAACATAACAGAAGGTAAGCCTACGTTTTCTCTGTTTGAAATGTGACACTATAGCTGTTAACTTTAGAACTCATTCTTTAAACAAATCTTAAGAAAATTCTATTAGTATAATAATTATGTAAAACAGTTATCAACAGAGTTGCTCTGGCAGAAAAAAAGAAACCAACTGATATCTACCATCCCCGGTGACTGAGGGGTCCACAGACATGTTGTAGAACTTGTTTAAAAAGTATGGCAGTTTGGTCTTAATAATTATACTAGTTTTTATTTGAATTTTTACATTCTGAGCCCAGAATCAGTTTCTTTTTTCTTCTGGATTTTGTTATTGGTAATAGTCTTGGCTTTTTAAAAAGAAAAAATATATGTCTGCCCTTTAATAAAGTTTAAAAGCAGAAAATAGAAACTTCAATTCTGCTTCCTGGCCACCATGCCTTCTCTAGGACACAGATGCCATACATACAGAAAGCTGAGTCTCTTCCTAAACGTAGCAAGCTGGGTTCTGGCTTTTTTTGTTTTGTTTTGTTTAAATAAGTAAAATGAATATATAGCCCTATCAATAATTGATAGCCATTCATAACCACTCACTATTTGGTGAACTTGGCATTGACTATTCATGTCAGTTTGCATTATAAAGCTGGAAAGCAAAATCACTGTCAAACCGTAAATAGTTTGACAAGGTGTGCCCTTCCTTCCCTGGGACCAGAATAAAGAAAGCAAAGGGGCCCTGGCAAATGTGGCTCTGTTGGTTGGCCATAGTCTCATGCCCTAAAGGTTGCAGGTTTGATTCCCAGTCAGAGCACATGCCCTATCTGTGGGCTTGATCCCCATTGGGGGTGTGCAGGAGGCAGCTCATCATTGATATTTCACTCTCACAATTTCCCTCTCCCTCCCCCTCTGCTTAAAAATAAACTGTTCCTTTAAAAAGAATAGCTTTTCTTCAAAATTAATCTTGTAGAATATTTTATTTTTAATTTTTAACTTTTCCTTTTTATTGAATTTATTGGGTTATACAGGTTTGAAGTGCACAATTCAACAACACATCATCTGTACACTGTATTGTGTAGTCACCACCCCAAGTCTACATCCATCACCATTTATCTCTATCTTCCTCCACCTCCTACCGCCTCACCCTCCACAATCCCACACTGTTGTCTGTGTTCCTGAGTTTTTTCAAATCTCATGCTTTTTTTTCCAAAATGAGATATTTTTTCTATTAATCACAAAATTTGGAAAAGGCAAAACAGTATGTGGAAGAAAACAGAAAATCACTCAAACCCACACCCAAACACAACTACCATAGAATGCCCAGTGGTTTACTTCCAGGGATATCTATGCATTTGCATTCAGCAAATGCCAGTTCTTTTCTGCAGTAAAATTATTTTAAAAGCACATTTTAAAAAGTCCGTTCCATGAGCTATCAGTAGGAAATACATAGACAAAAAATGACAGGAGTTGTGGTTTAGAAAATTGGAGGAGTCCTTCACTAGGGAGGAGAGTGTGGGCATGGCACACAAGTTGTGTCTGTTCTTCTACCCTACCCATCCCCACCTCATCTCCTCCCTTAGGTACTGGAAGGTGGAGGTTCAAGGATTGGGTTAAAAATCTGTGTGTGCATCTCTCCTGCTCAGGCTCTGGCATCCTGCTATTCATTTTCCATGCGAATTTTTTGGGTAAAGATGTTATTGCTCGACTCTGTGGACCATGTAGTGTACAAGCTGTGATTTTAAATGATAAATTTCAACTTCCTGTTTTTCTGGTAAGATTTTTCTATAGTTCATTACTGAAAAGTACATTTTTCTAATCAAAAGATGACTTAAATGGCTATGTTTTAATAAAATGTTAATTATAATTCAGTAAACCTGTTGTTGGAAATGAGGCAATAACCTGTAATCATCCTAAATTTTGTCAAAAATAATATACAGAATATAAATTCTTATGGCATAAGAATTTAAATATTATGCCTTTTCCCACCATTTTAATTATAAACATTCACTTACAGGAAATTCAACAAAGAAGAAAAGTATACCTGTTCATGCTTCAAATAATCAAATACAACCAGTGTCCTACTGTTGTATTTGTGCTTAGTTCAGTGATGGCAAACCTATGACATGCGCACTCATTTTCTTGGTTATTTTTCTTTGTTAAATGGCATTTAAATATATAAAATAAATATCAAAAATGTAAATCTTTGTTTTACTATGGTTGCAAATATCAAAAAATTTCTATATGTGCCACGGCACCAAAGTTAGGGTTTTTCAAAATGCTGACACGCCAAGCTCAAAAGGTTTGCCATCACTGGCTTAGTTTATGCTTAATTTTAGCTTTCATTATGCTAAAATTTGTATTTTTATTACAAACATTTAAAAATAAAAATACATAGTGGCTGTAGACCTTCCTTTTTAACGCATTAAGTGCCCAGCCTGCTTTGTCTGGACAGAAAGTATAGTGTCAGTGTGACTGACAGGGCGCTTAACGTGTTAATATAAGAAATGCCTTGAAGAACATTAATGCATGATTCCTTGGTCACATTTAGAACTCTTTCCTAACACTCATCCTAACACTCATGCTATATATTACTGGATGCATTCTAATCATAAAGATTTACCTAGATATTGTTTTTTATAGAGTCTTAAAGGTTTCTGGTCTTTGCAGATTTGGCCTAGCTGTTTCTAGATGTAGATGTTAGAAGAAATACTGACCCTTTTTGGTCTCTTTCCTTAGGATAGTCATTTTGTTTACTCATTCAGCCCTGTTGCAGGCCTCAATAAACTCTTTATAAGGTTGACAGAAGCACCCTCTGCTAAGGTGAGAATTCTTTCCTCATACTCATTGTTATGCTAGGTAACTTTATCATGTTGTGACTTCTTGGTATGCCTGTCCTAGAGACCTGTGCTCCCTTGGGTAGAAGTCAGTGCAATATGAATGTAAAACATGACAGATATAAAATACATTGTGTCTCTATAGCAGTCTTGGCTTTGGTATTTAATTGCCATATTATGTCGCTAGGCTAGTCACTAAACTCGCTTTGTAAAATGAAGCTGGTGTCTGTATAATAGTACAAGTATTAAACATAATAACTAAAAAATAATGAGCACTTGGATTTTTTTTAAATATATTTTTATTGGTTTTTTACATAGAGGAAGGGAGAGGGATAGAGAGTTAGAAACATCGATGAGAGAGAAACATCCATCAGCTGCCTCCTGCACACTCCCTACTGGGGATGTGCTCACAACCAAGGTACATGCCCTTGACCAGAATCAAACCTGGGACCCTTGAGTCCACAGGCCAACGCTCTATCCACTGAGCCAAACCGGCTAGGGCAGCACTTGGATTTTTTATTATAATAGTGATAATCTAACCACTTACATTGATAACCAATTTGGGAATATTGCAAATAAGAGAAACAAGTCTTGGGCATGTATGTTTCTCCCCTCTTCTAAGAAAAGAGAACTACCTCTGTGCTGATCCATATGCATTTTTTTTTTTTTTGCTTCCTATAGGTGAAATTGCTAATAGGTGCGTACAGAGTGCAGCTGCAATGATCAAACAGAGACTTGGGATGGAATGGCTTTCAGACCTATTTCTAAATACTCCCTTCCAAGCAGTTTGGAATTCTGGCACAGCTAACACTTAAAGTTTGATCTGCAAACCTCATGCAGTTTAAGGCCTATCATCTGTTATATGTGGGACATGATGTGTTCTATGTAATATATTATAAAATACAAAATGTAAGTATTTGTGCCAATGCTTTGAAGTTGATGTTGTGTCTGAACTGCATACTTAGTTTTCCACAATGTGGAATAGTACAGGGTTATTTAAGAAAATTACTTTTTTTGTTAACTTGAAATTTTCTTTTTAATTGAAATTTTCTACTACCCCAGGTGAATTTCTGTAAATAAAGTGTGAATTTGCCCCCCTTGAAATTGGAGCAAAAAGGTCTGACCTATTTCTGATATGTAGTTGCCACACATCCCAAGTTGGAAGGACATCTCTGGATGTTTCCAGTTATCCTTTATTTGAAAAGATCAGACCCTAAGAAATCAACCAGAACGTTGTGAGGCCTAAAAAGAAATATTACACGTGCCCTTACTTTGAGTCCTGGGAGGCAGACCAGTTTTGTCAGCTTTTGCCTCATGTGGGGTTACTGTTCCTATGAACTTTTCCATAGATAAAACTCTTTATTTGGCAAACTAATAAATCAAGCTCAGTCTGGATTATAGAAATGTTTAAAATGTAGTTCCTGATTAGTTTTATAATTGTGAGTTATAATTTTAATAAAATTTTCAGAATGTCACATATTAACCCCTATACATTGTGTTTACAATTCAGACAGCCATTTTTATTTTACATACTGAAACTGCCTTTTCCTAGTTTTCTCATTAAAGTACCACAATGTTGGTCTTTCTTATTTCTTTGTATCCCAAATAAATGTGGATACCAACTGTGTAGTTTTTAGCTAAATTTTGTACTAGTACTATATCTGATTTCATAGCTTTTGAAAAAAAATTGAGATTTGAGTTAGCAACAGTGCATAAGATCATTAAGGGGGAGGGGGTCAACAGTACCTTGGTCCAGTACATATAAGAGGAACGGGCTTTTTAAGAAATTTTCTATTAGGTCATAACTACTAGTGAGTAGAAAATAAGACAGTTCCTTTAGGAGTTTAGGCTGAGAAATAAGAATGAGTTATGAAAAGTCATCAAGGGGAAAATGGGTGAGTTATTTCAACTGAACCAGGATCAGAGAACATGAAAGTTTGAGTCAGTGCCAGATGTGCTAACTGGAATACATGTAGAGGTACATAATTTAATACAGTTGCTCAGAAGTATAGCTTCTCTAAAAACATACTTGTCCCTGAGTGGAAAAACATGCTGAAAGTTCTGGTTTCTTACATGTAAATGGTATGAACAGTGATTTCTCTGGGAAACAAATCAATTTCTAAGTATTAACTTACCAAAATGTATACGGATAGGCTTAGTAGTACAGGTCAAAACAAATCAATCTCCTTGTATAAAATGTGTAGAAATAACACAGAACACATACCTGAGCTTATTATTTCAACCACAGGTGATCTCATGACTAAGCAGGTCATCACAAATGGGACGCATTCCTCTTTGGCCAGACTCCCTGAGAAGCAATTAGTAATAGCTTTTTGCTCGAATTTTATCTTAAAAAAAAAAAGAAAAATCACTCCTCCGCCATTCCTCCTTTCCAATGTATAATGACATAAGGACACATAATTGGGTTATTCAGTCAAGTTAACTTCCTAACCACACCATTCAGATCTGCTCGGAGTATGGTTTACAGACAGCACATTACACATTCTTTTATCTGCAATACTTAGTACCAAAGGAAAGCACCTACTAACACTCACTAAATGATGGACTACAGTTACATAGTTTGGTTTCAGTCCAGGAATATGAAATTATTTAATTTCATACAATATCTCCTCAAGTCATTCCATCTGAATTCTTAAATTTGTGGTATTTACTCAGTGGAATGTCAGGAGGTTGCAATTTGGAACTCAGGTGCTGCTTTTTAAATCCTCAGCATTACACTGTTAGCTTTATTATTTTTAAAAATATATTTTTATTGATTTCAGAGAAGGGAGAGGGAGAGATGAAAACATCGATGTGAGAGAATCGTTGATCTGCTGCTTCCTGCACTCCCTTAACTAGGGATCTGGGCATGTGCCCTGATTGGTAATCGAACCATGACCTCCTGCTTCATAGGATGAGGCTTAACCACTGAGCACACCAACTAGCTACACTGTTAGCAATAAAAGTCACAGGATAACTTACTAGTGCTAACAGAATATTAACAGTGAAAGGGCCTCATTTACCATGGAAGTCTAGAGTTGAGTAAAAACTGGGAGAAACTGAAAAGTATAAATCTACTTTTGCCAAACCTTTATATATCACAATAGCCAAAACTGACTTCGAAAATGAGAACTTTGGAATATAGTTATCTGTCATCCTGAGTTCCCAGAGGAATCCCAGTTGGAATCTAAATCAGTTTAACTTGTAAGAATATAATTTCCATTATTCTACAACATATTATCTCTGCCTTACTCATATCGCCCATTTACTTTCCTTGGGCCAAGATATATGCTTTAGTAAAAACATGATTTTTCTCACAACAATGACAGACTTCTTGAATGGCTCCTTATCCTAGAGACTGACCCAAAATTGCCGGGGGTAAAGATCCCTCCAAAGAGTTGAAAAGGAGGTTTGTCCGCTGTTCTGTATTTGTGGGCTGCTACCATAATACTTTACAATATTAACCAGAAAGACCACACAAGAAGTAGGTACACATCTTTAAAATAAAATAAAACCAAAAACTGAACAAAAATGTAAAGTTTGCTCTATTCCGATATTTAAACCATAGAAAATTTGTCCATGAGGCCTAATTTTTTAAATGTTAAGTGTTATTGCTCCTATATGTATACATTGCTATGCTAATATGGAGTAATAAACTCACAAATGAAATACAATTGGTTTATGGCTTTTTTTCCTCCCATGTCTTTACAAACATTCTGTTACAAAGAAAATAATTTGCTGAGTCACTGAGCAGCAGACCTAAAAATATTCAAGCATCGAACTAGTCTGAACTATAAAATATTATTCAATAATTCACTTACTTCTAGGACTGGCATTTTGTTGTGAGGTCATATAGAGATTAAGGACCTGAGGGGATAAATATATTAATACTAAAAAGCTGTGGTTCCCAGACCAGAGTCCTCCACCTCTGTAGAAATGAGAACCTCAGGCCCAAATCACATGCAGGCGAGGCCAGCAGTCACTTTCACCGGTCCTCAGGGGATTCTGCTGCACCTCCAAGCATGAGAACCACTGTTTGAAAGGATAACCTGAAGACGTCAATGTTTTTAAAGATTTTTGAAAGAGGAAATTGCCATGTCACTTCCTTCTATGAGTATTAAATTTGTATTTTATATTTTATTAATTTAATGTTCAGAAAGTTAATAAAATTATCTTCAGAGAACCAGTATCTTTACACTGACTAGAAAATAAAATTCTGTAATGGTAAGTAGTTACTGTAAAATTTATATATTTCAGAGAGGGAGGGAGGAGAGAAACATCAGTGATAAGAGAGGTCATTTTTTTTTAGCTGTCCCACACTGGGGATCGGGCCCACAACCTGGGCATGTGCCCTGACCGGGAATTGAACCACGACCTCCTGGTTCATAGGTCAATGTTCAACCACTGAGCAATGTTGGCCGGGCACTTTTTTTTTTTTAACCAAAATTAACTTCAAAATCCTAAAGTTCCAGTAACAAATGCTTTGGTGTGTGATGCATTTAGCCTACATATATTAGATTTTTTTCTTGACCCATAGGTAAGGGGTTCTCTAGTAGAAACCAGATTTATTTGTAGGGCTTTTTTTTTTTTAATATATTTTATTGGTTTTTTACAGAGAGGAACGGAGAGGGACAGAGAGTTAGAAACATCGATGAGAGAGAAACATCGATCAGCGGCCTCCTGGCACACTCCCCACTGGGGATATGCCCGCAACCAAGGTACATGCCCCCGACCGGAATCGAACCTGGGACTCTTGAGTCCGCAGGCCGACGCTCTATCCACTGAGCCAAGCCGGTTAGGGCTGTAGGGCTTTTTTTTAAAAAATACATTTTTTGTTGATTTTTAAAGAGGGGGCGGGGGGTGAGGAGAGAGAGAGAAACATTGGTCAGCTGCCTCCTGCATGCCCGTACTAAAGATCAAACCTGCAACCCGGGCATGTGCCCTGACTGGGTATTGAACCAGTGACCTCTTGCTTCATAGGTCCACACTCAACCACTCAGTCACAACAGCTGGGCTATTTGTAGGGCCTTTCATAACAAAACAAAAAACGCTGCTGGATCCCACCCCAAGATTTTCTTTAATGGAGCAAGGGTGGATCTGAGAATGTTCATTCTTAAGTTCCCAGATGATAATGCTATTAGGGACTAGCTTTGAGAATCACTGCCCAACATTAATTTTCTAGAGCTATACAATAGTAGCCAAATGGCTGTCACATTTCAGGGCTGCATGAGTTGTCAGATATTTTTAAATGGTTAAACTTCTCAAAAGTCAAGTATGCTACATCAGTATTCCTCAGTATGCATGGCAATTTCTGAGTTTTGTTGAAATGGCGGTAGTTCCACTTTGTGTCCTGAGATCCTGCACTTTCAAGAGGCTCAGGTAATGCTTGCGTTTCTGGTCCCAAGAGAATGGAATGTGTCATCAGCAGATAAGGAATACACTTAATACTTCCTGGATCTGTCAGGATGACTACAACATCATCCAAATTCTGTCGTAAAGATCACAGAATTGTAAATGTTAACATAAAATTTTGTGTCTGACTTAACAAAACAATAGAAAAAGTATTATCCCTCTACAAAGGTTAGAAAGCAAGAAGGGAGAAAGGGACCTTCTATCCCCCTACCATTGATCGGATTTTATGATATTAAACCATTTTAAGATTACAATCTCTCCAAGGGAAAAGAAGACTAAAATTTTAGGCTTCAGATCACTGAATACCAAGAGGGATTTCTTTTTTCCTTTAATAAGACAATATGTAATTTCTATTCTCAGTCCAGTTCTACCTAACGACAAATCAAGGCACCTTACTACTACTGAGGAAATACAAGGGCAATTTGGAGCTAAAAATTACCTCCAGCAGTGGCCAGGTGGCCCACCTGGTTGGAATGTCTTTCCTTACACCAAAAGGTTAAGGGTTTCATTCCTGATCAGGGCACATAACTAAGTGGAGGGTTCAATCCTTAGTCCAGGCATGTACAGGAGACAAGCAATTGATGTTTCTGTTTCTTTCTCTCCCTCTCCTCCCTCCCACCCCCTTCCTCTCTAAAGTCAATAAACATATCCTTGGATAAGTATTAAAAAAAAGACAACTTAAAAAAATAACCTCCATCCTTGCTCAGAGAAAATGGACTGTTCACCAAGTCAACAGCACCAGGGAAAATCTTCCTAAAGAAACTAGGAAGGGGGGGAGATCAACCAAAGGACTTGTATGCATAACCAACGGACACAGACACCAGGGGGGTGAGGGTATGAGTAGGGGGGGTGGGCAATGGAGTAATAAGGACACATATGTAATACCTTAATCAATAAAGAAAATAAAAAGAATAAAACTAGCCGAGACCGGTTTGGCTCAGTGGATAGAGCGTTGGCCTGCGGACTGAAAGGTCCCAGGTTTGATTCCGGTCAAGGGCATGTACCTGGGTTGCGGGCACATCCCCAGTAGGAGATTTGGAGGAGGCAGCTGATCGATGTTTCTCTCTCATCGATGTTTCTAACTCTCTATCTCTCTCCCTTCCTCTCTGTAAAAAATCAATAAAATATATTTAAAAAAAAAAAAAACAAAACTAGGAAGGAACGAATAATCAATTACAACAGAGACCCACCTGAAAATAAATGACTTCAGGATATCATCTCTAAACTTGATTCATGCTGGAAGTAAGATTTCAGGTAGCTTCATCCATGTGTTATTTCATTCTCCTAGGATACAATAAAATCAGATTTAGCCTTTTTATAAACCAGTTTCAGTAATCATTTAAAACAGTGGTCGCCAACCTTTTGGACCTCACGGACCATCAGTGGCCCACGGACACCAGTTAGTGACCACTGATTTAAAAGACAGAAATGTTACCTCATTCCTTAGAGGTCTTAAGAGTAATGTTTTCATTAGGATGCTATTTAAAGTCTATACCACATTTGATTATTTACATTCAGTACGATGTTTCTTTAATTCATCTCCTCAAAGATC